GTTTTGCCACAGGCCATCTGTTAGTGTAATGGGCCAATCCAAAACCCTGGCTCCAAACGTTTCCAAACTTTTTGACATTGAAATTTGAATCTGGATATTGCAATTTGGGCTCAATCTCTAATTTTATACTATCATTGATTTATCCCATTGTGCAAGGTGCTGTATAAACACTAAGTAAGAGACAGTCCCTGCCTTTGTAGTTCTCAGTTCCCTGAAAAGCATGTGGATAGGTCAGATTGGCAGACCCCCTGGGGATTTTTCACCTTCTTCTGCAGCATGGGGCACTTGGTTTAAACTGTGTAAATGGTGGATTCTCTGTAACTTAGTACCTCTTAGGCGTCTATTACAGGAGTGGGGGGTGAGGTTCTGTGGCCTGCAATGTGCAGGAGGCCAGACCAGATCAGTGCTTCTCAGGCTATTTACCATTGCAGCTCTCTATGTGTTATATGGGCCGCATCCATGCAATATATATACTACCTGTATGGCCCTGAAGAAATCACATGGGCCACAGCTGTGTGTTGACTGGGCCGCGGGTTGAAAACTACTGGACAAGATGATCATGATGGTCCCTTCTGACCTTAGTCTATGCGTCTATGAATATACTGTGACAGTTTCTCACAAGGCAATGCACCTGGAGGCAGTGCAGAGGACACTGGGATGTCTACCTAGAGTGCAGCCTGCCTGTTGCTGCTACAGCTTGATGCTGTGTGGATGCAACATGCCAGCACAAGCAGCCAAATGTGAAGGCAGTCCACTCAAATAGCTGTATTGGTGGCACTATGCTGGCAGAACTTTTGCTGACAAAACTCTGGTGTAGACAGGCTTTAGCTGAGTAAGGAGGAAAGAAGCCATCAAAAACAAAGCATGATAAGAATTTGCTCCCACTTAAATCTGCCTCCTCATCATCATCCTACACACACACACACACACACACTATTTTCCTATTCTAAAGGGTTCTAGACCTTTAAACAAAATAAGTTATTCACAAACAAAACTTAGGAAATTTGGAGTTCCCCTTTTCCTATGTTGTCACTACCTTTGCCCCTCTTTTCACAGCATCAAAGGCTAATCCTTTTAGAAACATGTACATTGGTAAACAGACCTAGTGTCACTCTGAATCCTGCCTCCTCACAGGTGTTCATTGAGATTAAGAGCTTTTCTTCTCTCTCCTTTTACTTAAATTGATAAGTGGTTGTTTTAACAGATAATAAAAGGGGAAACAGCAGAGTACACAGGTTGCTAATAATTTCAGTGCGGCCGCTTCAGGAGAGCAGGAGGTATTTGCACTTAAACCTACAGTGATTGACTCATTTGTATT